CCCTCGGCGCCCCGCCGCCCCCTGGACCGCGTTCGCCCGGCCGCCCGCCGCCGCCCGCGCCCGCCATGAACAGCAACAGCTACTTCGAGCAGCCCCCGCAGACCTACTACCAGCAGGGCGAGGAGCAGGAGGAGATGCCGGCCACCGAGAAGGACCTGGCCGAGGACGCGCCCTGGAAGAAGATCCAGCAGAACACCTTCACCCGCTGGTGCAACGAGCACCTGAAGTGCGTCCACAAGCGCATCGGCGACCTGCAGAAGGACCTGAGCGACGGCCTGAAGCTGATCGGCCTGCTGGAGGTGCTCAGCCAGAAGAAGATGTACCGCAAGTACCACGCGCGGCCGAACTTCAGGCAGATGAAGCTGGAGAACGTCTCGGTGGCGCTGGAGTTCCTGGACCGCGAGCACATCAAGCTGGTCTCCATCGGTGAGTGCGGGGCCTCGCCGCCCCCGCTCCGGGCAGCGCCGCCGGGCTCACGCGGGCTCCGGCTCCGGGGTGGGCGAGGAGGCGCCGGGCACAGGACGGCGGGGAGTCACCGAGGGAAGGGCGTGGCTGGCCGCGCGAACCCCGCGCTCTCGTGCCAGTGGCCGGGGGTGGGCGGGGCGCCACAAGTCAGGGAAAGGCACGCTGTGCCCAGCTCAGGGGGCGTTAAGTTGGTTGGGGCGGTTGTGTGTGCGTCGCGGGTACCCACCCCAGACCCCGGACGTCAGTTGGAGCGGTTCTGTGTACCCTCTAAACCCAGAATTCTCAGTCAGCAGGTTAAAACGGTCGTGTGAACGTGGCCTGTCCCGAGAGTGGGCCGCGGGGGTGGGGGGCACTCGCGTGTGTGATTGTAACTGTCTTTGGCACAAAGGATGGGCTTACTGTGCGAAACCAGAATGAGCGGTTGGCGTGCAGGTGCCCCCTCCCCCCCCCCGCCAAAAGGGCACTAGACCAAATGCTCGGATTCTCTTCGGGGTTCCAGCTGTCCGTTGGCAGCCGAAGCCCTCGCGGCAGCTGCTGTTGGGCAACCTCTGACCGTGTGCCAGCTTCCCAGGTTACACAGAATGCTTCTTAGTCATGGCTGAAATGTATTAACCCCGCGGCCGGTTTTCAGACAACTGCTGCCCTTGATTGGTGCTGTCAGCTGGGGACCCGAAGTCAGTGTTCTTGGGCCAACTTGAAGTGAGCCTTATGGGAAATCCTGTCTCTTCAGGCGGACACCTGGAAACACGCTGCATTATGCAGAGGGCAGCTGCATGGTTTACTCCATAGAGTAGCGGCTAGCACAGTTGATAGCTGCTGGCTTTGTTTGTTCACAACAGCCTTGCGAGGTAGGCCGCTGATGGCCTCATTGGAGAAGCGGCTGGGAGCATAGCAGTGCGGCTTTGAAGGGGAACTCGGAACTCTCCTTTGCAGCCTTAGCTTGGCTAAAATACTGTTGTTCCGGCAGGGGTGTCCACAGGGTAGGGTCAAGAAAGTCAAGATGGAGCCGCAGCAGTGCGATCAAAGGTGCGTCACACATAAAAATGGGCGGAGCTTGGATTGTACCATCCTGGCCGCCATCTTGAATTTTTTGACCCTACTCTATGCACGTCCCCGGTTCTGGCTGCCCCCCATCTGTAATGCGACTAACTCAGACTGACCCGCTTTGTAGATTTGTTATCCAGGCTTGCTCTGATCCAGGACCAGATGAGATTTCAAACAGCCCAATTGCAAGAGGGAAAAGCGCTCCAAAATCAGTCCAGGGTTCCTCTGGATTTGCACCCAGACCCCTAAAGGGCTGCTGGAAAGAGGAAGGCGACGACTTTCTCTTTCACAGCAGAACTAAATTGTGGGCCCTTCAGGTCGGAGAGACATGAAAAACAGTTAAAGTGGTCTTTGCCCTTTAGGAAAGGAATCTCAGTCTTCTATCGTGGAGTGAGCAAACTTGCAGCTTCTCCCAAAGGCCCCGAGTAGTTCGGTACTGAGCAAAGAGACAGGAATATTCCTATTTCCTGCTCTTTCTTCCAGCTGTGCTCAGCTGAAGCGTCTTCCTTGTTGTTTTGCAACAGTAGGATTGGGATGAAGGTGGTTTGGGATCGCGGATGATTTTCTTTCTGGAAAGTTCAGGGATTGGGCCCAGGCCCGGGCCATCTGTTTGGAAGTGGGCCATCGGTGGATGCAGGGTTCCTTCAAAACACTTTGGTTATCGAGGGGGTTGGTTATCGTTACTCATTCTGTCTGGGCAAATGGATTTTTGTCAAGGGTGGCCAAAAAGTGGGAAGGAAGGGAGTCCAGGCCAAAGCCTCGGGCTGTTGCAGCGCTACCAGGAACTAAGTGTGGAACACACCCACGGACACTCAAACAGACTTGTGCTTCCTTAAAGGTAAAGGTCAGGCAAGGGTTTTTCTGACTCTTGCTAAGCCACCTTCATTCATCCTCTGCAAACGGCGGGTGAGCGAGGATGCGGGGAGTTGACTGGAGAAGTCCGAACAGCAGGGTTTCTCAACCTCATCAACTTTAAGATGTGTTGACTTCAATTCCCAGAATTTGGAGTTGGCTGGGGAATTCTGGGAGTTGAAGTCCACACGTCTTAAAGTTGATGAGGTTGAGAAACCCTGCTGTAGAGAAAGCACTTCACGCCCCAAGTATTCAGAGGGTGCCACAGATTCTGTTTTCCGTGGGCTGAATGCAGGACCCCTGCAGAAAATGTGTCTCGGTGGAATGCATAGATTTTAAGTGTGGCCTCCAGAGATGGGAGATGCACTGACCTTGTCCTAACGATCTGCTGCCTATGAAACTCTTGATCCCGTCCTTTCCCTGCCCGTGCTAGGCAGCAGGCAAATGGGAACGTAATGCCTCTCTCTGCAGGGTGTTTCTTGATACTTTCCCCTGTCCCACGAATGAGCAGTTGTGAAAATTCCCCAGCGTCTGTCGTTTCAAAATGCGGAGGGAGAATTCTTACCCAGCTCCCTTTTCTTGAGCTTTACCTGTTGAACCTCTGCAGCCCTGTTCTCCTGGGAAAGCCACGGATCTCTCCTTCAGGTAGCCCAAAGGGTTTTTGAGTTTTCCACAAGGACTCTCCTTCTGTGCAAAGTTCTGGAATAAAAAGGTGCTGATGTTTGACCCCTCCCCACAAAGGCAAAGACAAGAACAGGGGGGCTCAAGAGGGAGGGCAGTGGAGCCCAAGATATATAAGAAGGAGGCGGGGGTCTGCAGGGAGTGGCTAAAAATCAGGTGCGCAGCCGTGATGGTGCCATTGAAGTTCCACCCGGATTTTACGTGCAAAAAACACGCAGAACTTTGATCGCACCATCACTCTAACATCTTGACTTGCTTGACCACACTCTGGACGCTGAAGGAAGCAGTGCACCAGTCAAAAGGCAAATGAACAGGGTCTATTATTCTGTGTCAAAAGTGGCCAAATTCAGCAGCCCAAGTAAATCATTCCAGGGATAAGGGTGGTTGCCTTCACAGCAGCCCCGTGGCTCTTCACTCAGCTTGCCTTGTGCTCCTGGTGTGGGGGGAGGGTGGGGGGCAGTCCTACCCACTGATCACTTGGCTCAGCCCGAGCGTCTTACCACCACCACCCCGGCACCGCCTGCGCGTTTAAATTTTCTCTCTTGCAATCCTGAGGGCTAGCAACTTGAAGAACAAGCCCCTGGGATTGCAGAGAGGGCTTGATGTTGGGGATGTGCACTGAGTAGCCCATTCTCACGTGGTGAGTTGTTTCCTCAAAAGAGCAAAACTGGGAATGGGCGGGTGGGCTGTTCCTTTCCTCTGCTTGCAGCTTCCCTGGGGGGGGGAGGAGGCTTTTGTGAAGGTGAGATTGGCAAATGCCCGATGGCCACACAGATCTGGGTCTTCCTCCTCCTGGGGCAAGGGCGTGCTTCTTTGCCTGCTCTAAACCTGGTGCCCCCTCCGTGGTGCAGCGCTATCAAGAATAGGCTAATTGATCATGCTTAGACGGCTGGCCCGTTCTGCCCCCAGATCTGGGAGGTTTCCTTGGGCAGCTGCTCCAGCTTCAGCCCAGAGCGGGCCCTGGGTCTCGTCCTGGATCTGGAGTTAAATACCTGCTCGGGCCGGTCAGCCTCAGCCTTTGGGGTGGGTCCCTGGAGGAGGGCATGACATGGCCATTTCCTGGGCTGATCGGCCTTCAGGGATTGACTTCACAGCAGCAGGTTCTGCTCCAGAGCAGAGGCCTCCATGGGGGTGTGTCAAAAAAGTCAAGATGGTGACCCACCCCTTTTTATGTGCAGGTTCCATAGGAGACTTTTTCTGTGCATTCATTTTCACCCATTGAAAATCCATCGTTCATCCATCGCTTCTGCCCTTTTGTTAGCAAGAGGGGAGAAGGTTACAGGGAAGCAGGATGAACAGCTGCCTGCTGCTGTTAGATTACAGGCGTTAAGCGCCTTCGGTGTGAAAGGACGCTTAAGGTTGTGCATAAAAGCACCAGCAGCTGCGTTTGCACAACACGCTAAGCTTGGTGAGTTTTAATCTCAGTTTTTCTTTTACATGCCAGCATGTCATGCCAACCCGGCCATTGGCTAGTTTGGGGTTCGCGGTGTTGGGTGTATTCAGAACATAGGTTAATTCAACAGGTCAAGCAGGTTGTGGGAATGGGGCTTAGTTGGCTGTGCTTGGTGAGAAAGCAACAGGGATTTGGGCTCTGTGCAGTCCAGAGCTGATGCTTCTGCCCTGGAAAAGATTTGGCTTAAACTACCAGCACTAAGCTGTTCCTGTTCAAGCTGTAGGCCGGTAATGAAACAGACGTTCTCCAATACATCCACCCTGTTTTCTCCAGGGGCAAGTGACCTTGTACTGTACCAAAATGAAGTTACATGCAACTGAGAGCTGGCAAACCTTTTTAGAAATATTTTTCAAGGACCTCTGGACTTTTCCAAGGTTGCTGTAGAAGTTCAACTTTGCTGGATACTTTTGAGAACCTCCTGTCGGTTCATGTCAGAGCAAAACCTGCCAGCTTCAGTGTTTCTCACTTTGTTATTTCTGAAACCCTGACAGTCCCAGGATCTGATGAAGGCGACCCAAGCTTAAAAGGCAGCTGGAGGAGTCCAGAAACATGATGCTAAGTTTTCTTCCCTTGATGCTCTTCTGTTTAATTCCACCCTCCCACCTCCTTGTTTTCCCTACTTTTAAAACATGCAAACCTAACCCTGTGGCTCCATTTTTAAAAAACAGCCAGACCTAGTTCACACGTGTATTTTATCCTATGCTGTGTGTGTGCATTTGAATGTTGCAAGGATTGCAATTTTTTGCATGCATTTGCAGATTTATTCATCTCACTGAGCTATAATGTTTGGGGGTTTGGCTTAGCCTGCCATATAAACCTGGCTGCTGTGGTTTATCATTTTATCTGCTCTGTGTCCTGGCTGAATCTGGTTTATCCAACAAACTGTGTCTAAGGCCATTATTGCTGCCACCTTCGTTAGCATCCCTGTAAG